GCTGGCGCCACGCCCGCCGCCGCCCGCTGGACGCCGCGGCATTAGGGCGCGCCTTCGAAGCGCGTTCCAAGGTTGGCGGCGACCGTGCCACCAGTGCCCGCCGTGTCGGGTACAGGACTTGGCCGCCTGGGCCCTGCGTGTATCTGTTAGGGCGAGGAGCTCAAGCCCGACCCGTTTCATGAGTTCAGCCTACGGCCGATATGCCAGGTGGCGGAGCGGCCGCGGTCCGCGCGCGCCGCCCTGCCCTCCGCCAGCATTTGCGCAATTCTCGCGGTGGCGGGCGGCAGCGATGGCCCCCAACGAGTTCGTGGAGGGCGGCCGCGCGCTTCCGCGGCGGCAAAGGCGCCGCGGCTGCCGCCGCCCACTGGCGCGCCCGACGAAGGGGCCGCCGCCCGCGCCCACGGTGGTCGGGGCGCGGCGGCAGCCCCCGCTCACGGGCGCGCCCGACGGCGCCGCCCGCAGACATCCAGATCATTTCGGAGATAGTGTGGGCCAGTTTGAGCGGGGCAGTGGTGCGTGTGCGTGTGCGTGTGCGTGGTGTATGCGGTGGCGGGGTGTGGATAAGTGTGTGGGTGGGCTGGTGAGTGTGTGTGTGTGTGTGTGTTTGGGGGTGGGGGAGGGGGGTGGGGGGGGGAGGAAGGGGGGATGGCGGTTGGGGAGGGTGGATGTGTATGTGGGAGGGGGGTGGTTGGGGGGGGGGGCGTGGGGAGGGTAAGGCGAAGGCGGCGAGGAAGTGTGGTGTGGATAGGGGGAAGCGGGAAGGGATGGGAGTGGGCGGGTGGTGATGGGGAGGGCGGGTGATGATGATGGGGAAAGGGATAGGGATATTGCGGCGGTGGTGGTGGTGGGGCGTTTGGGTCGGTGGGTGAGAAGTTGCGGGGGCGCGGGTGGGCGGCTGGGCGCGGGCGCGGTGGCATGGGGGTGGGGGTGGGGGGGAGGGGGGAGGGAGGGGGGGGAGGGCAGGGGCGAGCTGGGCGTGGTGTGGGTACGTGGGTAGACACGGGTGATGTGGGGTGGGAGAGTGGCGGGGTGGTAGTGCGGGCGTGGGTGTGTATGTAGGTGGGGGTGGGAGGGGAGGGGCGGAAGGGTTGAGGGGTGGATGGGTGAAGTGTGTTTGTGTGTACGTGGATGCTGTGGGTTGGTGGGGTGGTGGTGGGCGGGGTTCGCGAAGTGCGGTGGGTCGGGCGGGGTGCGCAGGGTAGTGAGTGGTGATGTGTATAGAGCGGGACAGGGAGGGGGCGGGTAGTGGTGGTGGTGAGTGGGTAGGTGGGCAGGGGGGTGGGCGAAGGGGTTGGGTGGGTCGGTGGTGGGTAGGGCGGATGGGGTGCTTGTGGGGTAGGGGCGGAGGTAGGGGGTGGGGCTGGTGGGTGGGGTGGGGTGGGTGGGTGGTGGTGGGGGGGGGGGGGGGGGGGGGGGGGGCGGGGTTGGGGGGGCTTGTGGGCGGGTGGTGGGCAAGGGCCCGTGAAGGGTGCAGCCCGAAGTTCCTTTCGGACCTCCGCAGGCCTTCGAGTAATTTGCTAAACGTACAAGCGTTTGAAAACAGTTACGAGCAGATCCGAAGCAAAACGCGCGCGCGTTTTGCTTCGGATCTGCTTTGTGCCCGACGCGGTCGGCATATTTTGATTCCAGAACGAGAAAATCTGAAGGGCGCGTGCCCGTCCCATGGGAGAGTGGGGGAATGGGTTCTCAGCTTACTAGAATACTAGAATATTATTTATACCCCCCTCGGTCTCCCCCTCCAGGGGTTTCCCAAGAGGGGGAGACCGAGGGAGGTATAATATCTAGTAGTAATAATATAGTAGGCTTAGAACCCATTCCCCCATTCCCCACTACTCCATAGGTACCTCTGGGTAGCGAGGGAGCGGGGGAGTGTTATAGAGAGTAGTGTAACAGTAGGTTAGTATAGGTTAACATGTTATAGACTATGATCACTGATTACTCTCTGAGCACATAATTGTCGGCTTATCTTTGCTCGTACTCCCATTCTGCTATCCCCCTCGGTACCCCTGGTAGCGGGCATTGCGGGTAAAGATGATTGTTAGTGTTGGTATGTTGTTGTGCCTTTGTTTTCAGTTGTTTACTCCATGCACTTCCGTCGCGCCGCGTCGGGCGCTTTTTGAAAAAAACATAAATAAAACTACACAAAACAAATACCAGTCCAGAATTAAATGGCGCCGCCTCGGTCGTTTCCACCCCCAATGCCAATTACTCCCAGAAGTATACCCAACCCCAAATTGATAAAAAGAAAGGTAGGGGGCGAAGCGCCGCTCCCCCGAAAAGTGAAAAGTCTTTCGTTCGAGATGCGTCAACGCCCCAAGGGTTGAGTTTGAAGTGTCGCTAGATATGGGGTTCCGCGGGTTCCACGGGGGGTTCCACGGGTCGCTAGATTGACTTTTCCGCGGCGGGTTTCCACGGGTTCCGGGAGCCAGGATCTGGGACCTGGGGGTCTTGGGGGGGGGGGGCTCCCGGGTGGGGAAATAGGCGGCGGAGGAGGAAGGGCGGAAAGCGGGGCGGGCGGTGGGGGAGGGGGAGAGCGGGAACGGAGGCGGAAGGGAAAAGCAAAATAGGGAGATGGGATAGAGGCGGGCAAGGAGGAGTGGGCGGGAATTGCGGGCGGTCCAAATTGGGCGGGGGGTCAGGATAAGGGCAGCAAGCGGTGCAGAGCAGAGGTCAGCAGGGGAACGTGGGCCCCTCCCGTTTTCCACCTTTCGCTTCTCCCCTTTTACTCCTTCTCCCTTTCCTCCTCTACCTCTCCCCGCCCGCGGCGATGGCGATGATGATGATTATGAGGGGGCGGCGACGACAATGATGAGGAGGATGGCGATGATGATGACCGTGGCGATGGCGGTAATGGTGGCGATGATGAGCAGCAGGGCAAGGGAGGGCGATGATGACGATGATGCTGACCACGGCGATGACGATGATGATACCGATGATGAAGGTGGTGAAGAGGATGGCGAGGAGAAAGGATCTTGCTCTCTACCTCATCCTACCTTCTTCTCCCTTTCCCCTCCTTCTCTCTCCCCTCCTGTTTCCGACCTCCCCGCTTCCTCCTTCCTTCCTCATCCCCATATGCTCCCTCCCCTCGCCCGCCTCTCCAGGTTCGCACATCCCTCCCCCCGTCGCCTCGTCCACAGCCCGTTCCAGACTCGGGCGACCACGCGCCCAGGCGACTCCCGCGCGCGCGTCGCGCGCGACCTCTCTCTGCGCGGCCGTGCCTTCGCATCCCCACTGAGGAGGGGAGGGGAGGGAGAAGAAGGAGAGGAAGGAGAAGGAGAAGGAGCCCCCTTGGACCGAGGACCTCAGGGCCCCCCTGTCACGGCGCGCGTTCTGACCGAATACTTCCGCGCGGCCCGTCGGCCTTCGCTCTGCGAGGACCGTTTGGCGAATCAAGCTGTGGTGGGTTGTGTGCGCGTCGTCCCCGTCGTCGCCGTGGTCGTCGTCGACGTTGTCGGAAGAGGACGTCGCCGTCGCCGTCTTTGTCCGACGGCTCCGTCGTCGTCATCGTGACCCTCTGGGGGATGCGAGTGCATGCCCGTGTTACCTCGTGCCCCGACAGCCCATGGCGACCCTACCACCAGAAGGCGACGGATCAGGGTCGGAAGCAAGCACGTTGCCTCGGGCGAATGCGACGCAAGAGGCAGCAGACGAGCCACGGGCACCCGAGCTTCCGTTGGCGACGCCACCACCTCTCACGCAAGGGGCGGACCGTGAAACGTTGGAGAGGGCCCTCCTTGCGTCCCAGAAGCTCGTGAAAAAGGAAAGGAAGAAACATCGCAAGTTGATGCGTACGTTGGCCAAGGTTAAGACCAGGCTCAAGAAGGCGGGTGATCAGATCCTTGAGACGTTGTGCTACATCAGTGATGGGACCTCCGACTAGGAGACGCTGCCATACATGATGATCTGCTGCCCGACACTTTGTGATCGAGACGTTGTGCTCGTGACGTCGTGCTCGAGGCGTGAGGCCCGATGCGCGAGGCCCGTGGCGCTAGGCTTGAGACGTTGTGCTCAGAACGATGTGCTCGAGAGGCTTGTTGTCCAAGGATATTCTGGTGGCCGCCTGGTAAATTGGGGTCGCGCTGGCTGTGCTTGCGCGCTAATGCCGACAGATTTCGCCATTTAGGCTTTAGGTCAAAGGGTTCCAGCCCAGGCAGCTCCGATATGGCATTGCGTTGCACCAGGTTCCCATAGTTCGATTCGCATTGCAAGGGGCATTGTAGTGGATGACTGCTTCTCTGCGGACGCGCCAGCTTCAAGAGGGCTGCAGAAGATCGCAGCCACGCGGGCGCCACTATTACCAGAATGCTCGCGTGTATTTGTTCGGTTGTGAAAGGAGTGCTCACTTATCCTGCTCGCCCTGCCTCGGAGCGCCCCTCGGACACACCTCATCGTCTGCGCGTGGCCGCTGTGTCGACGGCCACGCGTCACGTGGGGGAGCCCTTGCCCCTGTCGCCACCATCGCCCCGTCTCCATTGCTCTCCTCAACCTTTCCCCTCATCGCCCAGTCCGAGGCCGTTTCTGCTTCGAGCCTGTTTCGCCCGCAGGGGCCAGCAGCGACGCTTGTGCTTGTGCTACAAGCTGCTGATTGCGGGCATGGCGCGAGGCGATTCGGCCAGAGGCCGCGGAGCCAACGGCAGGGGCAATGGTGGCAGGGGCACGCGGCGCGCGCCCACTGGCCCGCCGAAGAAGAGCGCCAAGACGGCGCTGGCGTGCGACATGTGCGCGAAGACCGATCGGGACAGATGGGGCGCATCTAGACATTCAGCTCCCCTTCCAGCGTCGACGACGGCGACGACGACGAGAGGGCGGGGGAAATTGGGGGAAGGGGCGGCGGCGGCGACGACGACGACGGCAACGAGGGCACGGACGACGAGGAGGAGAAGAAGGAAGACGACGACGACCGCGATAACGACGACGACGATGATAAGGGCATGATTAGTTTGTTTCCGCCTCCGCCTCAGGAGGTCAAGAGGTTCAAGATCACGGGCGAGGATGACACGATGCACCTGGAGTGTCTCCTCCTTGACAGCGACACCGCTTGCGTCGGGTGCATCCAGTTCGTCTTCGAGGAGCTTCCTGGCATGATGTTCTCGGATGCCGTGGGGTACTCGTCCATGGGTGTCATGGACCAGCTGTTCGAGGGCGGGGCTTCTCCAATTGATGTTGCCAACTCGCCGCCTACAGGCGCTAGCGGCATGGCCGTCAGGCAGGAGGCGTCCGTCGGACACGAGCTCTATATCAAAGTGCTGGCGCTGAGCAGCAACGACGTCATGAAGGAGTTCGGCAAGCTTCCCAAGACTCTCGGTCTCAGGGGCGTCATCGTCTGCCAGCGGCCGTCCCCCATGGTAGTTTACCCGTTCAAGATGATCCAAGATCGGAAGGGCGCTTACCCGACGCTGAAGATATTCCATCGAAATTCCATGGGCTCCCAGGTCACCTACACTAAGGACGGAGCGAAGGAGTTGATGAAGGGCCACAGCGATATGTTGCTTGCGGCAACGGCGAACAAAGTCGGCACAGGCGGCGACGAGGAGGGCCAGGTCACTTTCAACCAGGGCATACACTCTGCTATTCCGACCTTCCAGTCCATCAAGGACCGCCGCGACGCACTGAACGCCAAGTCCCAGAAGCGGTTCGGCAAGCAGAAATCTGGCGCGATCGACGAGGTGCATTTAGATGAGGAGGGGAATCAGTTCGAGGAGGGCGAGGGTGAGGACGGCTCCGAGAAGGATGGCGTGGTGGGCGTCGAGGACGCGGACGATCCCGAGCGCACCCCAGGGGCGCCCCGCGGGCCTTCATCGTCGGTGGGCCCCACCACTCTCAAATCACTCGGCCTGAAGCGGCCGCCGTCGTCGTCGCCTACACCGTCTGGGTCGCTCAGGCATGGGAGGTCTGCCTCCAAGGGTCAGCGCGCGACCGAGGAGGAGGTCCTGAACCCAAATATGTCTGGCACGGTCGAGTATTGGATTTGGGAGCTGAAGTTTGAACGGGCCTTCAACGACTGCAAGAACGGGCGCGCGGAAAACCAAGCCAAGATCTTGCTGCCGAAGATCAGCGGCAACGACCGCAAGAACTTGCAGATCCACCTGGACCTCTACACCATGGCGAAGTGCTTCAGCCCCACTGAGTGCAAGAACCACGATAACACTGAGCTCACGGCGAAGTGGAAGGAGCTGAAGAAGGCAGGCGCCACCTTCACGAAGTTCTGCTTGAAGGGCTTATCCAAGAGGTACGTCAACCAACTTTGGAAGACTGTCGACGATTCCGATACCGACATTTCCGCGAAGAGGGATGCCATGAGGAAGATGCTTACCGCCACCGCTCCGTGGGACTCTGACGTCGCGGCCGCGCGCAACATCGACCCGTGTTCCGTGAAGCTGGTCCAGGCTTGCGAGGATGATTCGGAGATCGCCGAGTATTTCATGGAGTGGGTTTTCAGCGACACCTTCCAACTTTGGATCAGCGCGGGCAACTCCAGGGCAAAGGACGTGCTTATGTTTGTGGAGGAGGCCATCGCTCTCTGGGACACGCTTCCAGAAGACGCGGTCTTGGGGGAGGAACCTGCGTTGTGCCTTCTCCAAGCCAACACCGTTGCTCGCCTCCTCCAGGCGTTGAGCGCAGACAGCTTGCCGCAGGACCTGAACCTGGACATCTTCGATAGCCTGGCCGCGGTGGAGAGCGAGGCCAAGCGGACTACGGGAGGGCAGACCGTCCTGAGGATCGCTGGGCAGGCGTTGATGACGTCGGCAGGGGACTACTGGCAGAAAAAGCTCGACTGGGCCAACCAGCATGCGACGTCGCTCCAAGAGCACGGCGGCGCTTTACAGCAGGCGGCTTCGGACTTGACGGCGGTGTCCACCACCTCCGTGCCCAACAAGACGATCGGCGAGCGCATGCTGAGCATCGCGAAGGAGATCCCCTACTGGGAGGCGCGGATGTACGAGGGCGTGTCCGACATCGTGAAGGCAATCTTGCTCGAGAAGGCGACCAAGTTGCGCGATTTGCTGGTGGCGGGCGGCGCCAGGGGCGCCGCCGCCGCCGTCGCTGATGCCGAAGCGCCCGATGAGAGCCCCTCGGCAGTCCTGGCCGTCTTCAAGGACCTCTTCAAGGAAATGTCGTCCATCTTCCCAGCCGATGAGCACGTCGAGAAGTCGGCGCAGGACATCCACAGCAGGCTTTTGGACGTGGACCTTGCCAGCAAGCACGACCTCGTGATGCAGGCCGTGCGCGAGTGGGAGCCCTCTGGTGACAAGACGCGTCGCCTCCGCGATGCGCTCCACGACTGCCGCGCCAAGGAGTTGCCAGACGATGTCCGTGAGCCTTGCTACAAGCTGTTCGAGGGCATCGTGAGGACGGCAGTTGACAATTCGCCCCAGGGCCCGATGATCCCCGTCGACGGCTCGGTGTTCGACACGTTGGAGTTTCTCGCGGGCCACGCGCCCCAGCCCCACACCGACGCGTGCACGAAGGTCTCGGCGATGGTGAACGCGGCGTGGAGGGCGCTGGTTGCTTTCAAGAAGGTGCAGGACGCTACGAGCGAACATGCAGCTGAGGCTGCTCCGCCCAGCTCCGAGGTGGTCGATGGCATGGTGAAGGACCTGGTCAGGGCGCTCCAGAAGTACAAGTCGACCGCGAAGCCGACGCTGCTGGATCGGTTCGCCCCTGGTGCATCAGAGCTGCTGGGCGCCAGGATCGATGCTGCCAAGGAGTTCGTGAAGCAGAATGGTAGCAGCAGCGTGGCGGCGATCCAGTCCAACATCACGAGCAAGATGACGACGCTGAGGCAGATGATCAAGGAGTCCCCCCACATGGACGAGTACGAGAAGGTCTGCATGTCGGCCACCGCTCTGCCGCCGATCCTGCAGGTCGCGAAAAAGGGACTGACAGACGCGAACACGGGGGACTGGCTCGAGAGGTGCGCGCAGATCGAGGGCGAGGTCGAGCAGCTCCGCGCGAAGGCGGGCGAGTACGGCATCACTGTGCAGACGGAAGACATCAAGACCATCGAGGGCGCCGTGTCAGAGATCAGGGCGGCGTGCATCAGCATCGAGCTGTGCAGTCACTTTGGCGACGCAGAGCTGGTAAAAAAACAAAGTGGAGCTGAGAACGAAAATGACAGCGGTGCAGGCGAAGATCAGGAAGTACGCGCTCGAGCCCAAGTCCATGCCAGAGCCGATCGTGAATCGCTATCGCGATGGCCTGAAGATGAAGTGAGAAGCACAAGTCCATGCCAGAGCCGATCGTGACGGGACATCGCGATGCTGCTCGCTGCCTGCTCGCGGCTCCGCGCGAGCCTCGGCGTTTGGGGGCCCCGCTTGAGAGCGGGGCACGCGCGGCGCCAGACCCGCTCGCGCTCGCCCCTACCAGAGCGAGCGGGCTGCCGCCTGGGGAAAACCATTTGGCCTCTCTCCTCATCGCCTCCCTCTTCGCTCTTCGTCGGTCGCGGCCCTCGGCCCCTTCGTTCGGCCTCGTCTTGTTTCGGTCCCCCTCGCTCGGCCCCCTCGGCCCGTTCGGTCCCTCGTCCTCGTCGTCGTCGTCCTCCTCGTCATTGTCGTCGTCCTTGTCGTCGTCGTCGTCGTCCTCGTCGTGATCTTTCCTCGTCGTCGTCATTATCCTTTCTCGTCGTCGTCGTCCTTGTCGTCGTCGTCGTCGTCTTCCTCGCCGTCGTCGTCGTCCTCGCCGTCGTCTTCGTCGTCGTCGTGGTCGTCGTCGTGGTCGTCGTGGTCGTCGTGGTCGTCGTCGTGGTCGTCGTCGTCATCGTCGTCGTCGTCGTCGTCGTCGTCGTCGTCGCCGCCTCCCACCCCCCCGGAGCCGCCGCGCAACGTCGGCGAGTGCGTGCCAGGACTCGCGAGCCCCGCTCTCTCGAGGGATAGGGGCAGGGGCGGGCACGAAAGGGGAGGAGAGATGGAATGAGGGAGAGGTTTGGGTTGGGAAATTGCAGGAGCTGGGGCTCAAGAGGGGGATCGGAAAGGTTGCGGGGAGTTTGACTTGGGAGGGGTTGCGAGGGAGTTGGAAGAGTTAGAGGAGTTAGGAGGAGTTGGGAGGAGTTGGGGGCATTGGAGGAACAGGAGAAGTTAGGAGAAGTAGAAGGAGTTAGGGGGAGTTGGAAGAAGTAGGAGGAGTTGGGATGAATAGGAGGAGTTGGGAGGAGTCGGGAGGAATTGGGAGGAGTTTAGAGGAGATGGGAGGAGTTTGAGGAGTTAGGAGGACTTGGAGTCGTCGTCGCGGTCGTCGTCGTAGTGGTCCTCGTCGTCGTCTTCTTTGACGTGGTCGTCGTCGTCCTCGTCGTCGTCGTCGTCCTCCTCCTCCTCCCCTTTCTCGTGCGCGCGCTGTTGTGTACCGACGCAACATGTCACTTTTCGGGGCCAGGGGTGGTGCGTATGATATATGTAGCAACGCAATTGTATTGTATATTGATATTTTTCATTGCTTTTTTAAAGTATTTTTTGAGTATTTTAACATGACGTTTAAAAAAACGCCGCCGAGTATTTTTTGAGCATTTTCATGTGTATACACGATTTACAGAGTGAAGCGGGAGGCGCTCCATATAATTGTAGACGCTGAGTGGGAGGTATTTCCCCTGCCTGCCTGAGGCGCGGCTCTCGCGGTATACCCTCGTGAACGTTTCCACCGCAATCTTCTCGACCTCTGCCTTCCCGTTCGCCTCCTTGACGTCGTTCCAAAAAGTATCTTTCTCTTCCTGTGAAAGCGACTCGAAGGATTGTGGCGGCCATCCTCCGAAAATTTTGTGGAGCTGAGTGTACCGCGAACTGCACGTTGAGCACTGCCAAACATTCCTTTTCTTGCCTACAATCCTTGCTGCGAGCGGCTCCACGGGCTTCTTGCACTTGGTGCAAACGGGGTTGCGATCGAAGCGCGGCACCGCGTCGATAGCCGTCTGATCAGGGGCAGCGGCGCACGGTGGCTGGACCTCGGCGGGTTCTGTCGGGACCTCCGAGCTCCTCGGCGCGGCCGGTTTCTTGCGTTTCTTTTTGGCGGTCTTGGAGCGCTTCCCCTTGTTCTTCCCCTTCTTCTTTTTCTTGGCCTTCTCGCCGTCCTCGCCGCTGACGCCGTAGTCGGCGCCCTCGGCGCCGTCGTCTCCGCCAGTCCCGGCCTCGTCTGCGTCGGCGCCGTCGCCGTCGGCGTCGGCTGGCCAGCCTTCGGCGCCTTCGGAGGCCCTCCTCTTCTTGCCCCCCTTCTTCTCCTCAACTGCGGGCGCAGCCGCGCCGCCGCGGTCGCCTCCTTCGTCAAGGTGTTCGGGTTCGGGCCCCCACTCCCAGGACCAGTCGTCCTCCTCGGGCGCAAGGCCTGCCACTGCCTTGGCTGCCCTGACCCTGGCCTTCTTGGGAGGGCGCTTGGCCTTGCCTGCGCGGCTGGCGCCGTGAGCGGCCACTTCGGCGGCATCCTCTGGGGCCATCCCTAGCTCTTCGGCAAGTGTCACTGGCTCTCCCTCGGGGGTTTCCTCTGGCTCCTCGGGGGGTTCCTGTTTGACGTCGTCTAGCTGCCCCGCGCGGGCCGCCGAAGCCACGACGGAGAACTCGAACAGCGAGCGCTGCTTCTTGACCTCCACGCGCTTGGGCGGGGCGGAGACGCGCGGCGGGGCGGCAGCCGACATCTGCTGCAGCAGGCACGCCGCAGGCTCGTCCATACCTCGGTTGCGCGAGCGCTCCCGAGCGACCCGAGAGCAGGAAGCGCTGCTTTGAGCCCAGAGTGGCTGCAGCAAGGCGCAGTGGGGTCGTGAGCTCGGGAGCGCGTCTGAGCGAGTGAATCGCTTGTCTGAGCGAGTGAATCGCTTGTCTGAGCGAGTGTATCGCTAGTCTGAGCGAGTGAATCGCTTGTCTGAGCGAGTGTATCGCTAACCTCAGCAAGCGAAACAAGGTCTCAGCGATCCTCGCTCTCTCGCCCCCCCCGCCCCCATCCAAACAGAAAAGCGCAAACCACGGATGGCGACGTCACGTTGGACCACCGTTGGACCACCCACGTTGGACCCCCGTTGGACCACCGTTGGACCACGGTGGTCCAACGCGTTGGACCCCTGTTGGACCACCGTTGGACCACCGTTGGACCACCGTTGGACCACGTTGGACCACCTTCTGTTGGACCACCCACGTTGGACCACCGTTGGACCACCGTTGGACCACCAATCGCCGTAGGGCTTGGAGGGTGGGTGGGCATGCGGTATCCGAAACCACACCAGAAACGAGCGTCAAAATTGTAACGAATATTGACGCTCCCTCTCGGGCCTTGTCCTTTTCTCTCTGATCTGTCCTTCTCGGTTTTTCTCCTCCTTCTCCTCCTCCTACTCTTCTTCATCCTCATCCTCTCTCAACCCTCCTCTTTACTTTCTCCTCCCCCCCCCTCCTCCTCTCCCCTCTCATCTTGGCGGGTCGCGCATGGGCGGGCTGAAGAGGAGCCAGCGATTCGATCGCTCAAATGGGGTTTCGAGGAAGAGCCAGCGATTCGATCGCTCAAGTTGGGTCACGAGGGTGCTATTATTTGTTCAAAGAATCGGCGGGCTCCCGAGACAGGCCGAGCGCAGGGCAGCAGGCCGCGTCTTGGAGTGGCTCAGCCCACGTGGCGCATGCAGATGCTCTCGAGCGTCTTCTTGGCGCCCGAGATCGCAGCAGCGCTGTCCTCGAACGCCTTCGCTGCGCTGCGTGCGATGGTCGCGGCGTGCTCCGTCGCAGTCAGAGACCTGTCAAGGCAATCCATGACCTGCTGCAGCTCGCCCTTGCGCACCGTGATGTCCCGCGTCACCACTGTCTTCGACTTGTACTGGCCGACTGGTCCTGAAGACCGCTGTTGAACGGCCCGCCCTGGCTGCGGTTCCACGGATGGCGCGGGGCGCTTCTTGCTCTTCTGCGTGCCCAGCTCGTAGACAATGAACGCGTCATTGTCTGCCTCCTGCAACGCCGCCTCCCACTCGAGGGCGTTGTCCTCGTTGTGGTAGGTAGAGCACCACAAGTGGTTCGCCACCTTTTCCTTCACGATGTCCCTGTCAGGGTCCGAGAAGATGCACGAGCCAGCTTTCTTGCAATCGCCGCGAGGGCAAAAGCCGCGCCACAGCCATTCACTCCCGCTGGAACTCGCGGCCTCCGACGGCCCATCCATCGCTGCCCGCCGAGCGCGCCTTGGCCCTTGGCCGCTGAGAAAGAAAACCGTTCTAAACAGATTGAGCCCAGACGAATGCAGATGACTACTCGCGCGGCCCGCCCCATGGAGCGAATGCAATCGCTGAGAGGAAATGCAACGGGCAGGGGTGCAAGGATGCCGACGCATCGAATGGGGGCTGAGCGAGGAGGTCGAGCAAGCCGAGGCGACCGAAGGGGGGAGAGAACGGCCCGCCGCATCTGGGGCACTTCTTTGCGCCAGTAACTTCCCACGAGGGGCTCGCCAAATCTGGGGGCCTTCATTGCGTCAATAACATCCCACGAAGGGACCGCCAAATCTGGGACCCATTTTTGGCGTCAGTAAATTCCTAAAGGGCCCGCCCAAAAACTGAGACCAGAGATTTTGGCCTGGGTCGCTGCGGAGATTTTGACCTACGAACGGCGCCCGTGGCGTGGATCGCCGCGGAGATTTTGGCCTGGATCGCGGCGGAGGGCGGCGTGGGGATTTTGGCCTGGATCGCGACGAAGAGAGGAGAGATAGACGAGGGAGGTGACCTGCATAGCGATTCAATCGCTTGTGAACTGCATAGCGAGTCAATCGCTGTTTTTTTTTTTTTTCTCAAATGTCCTCGAGGTCATGAGGGTCCCAGGCGGCCTGCGCCCGCGGCGCCCGCGTGCCTTCGGGGGCGCTGCCCTTGCTGCCCTTGCCGTCCTTGCCGCCCTTGCTGCGCTCGGAGAAGGCGCCGCCCTTGCTCTGCTCCTGGCCTTTGCCGCTCCTGGAAGAGGCGCCCTTGCCGCCGCCCATGCCCTTGTAGTCCGAAGGCCGCTTCGGCACGTGGCCTGCTTGCCAGCCCCAGCCGCCGTAGCCGTACTTCTCCTCGAAGAACTCCCTGGACGTGCCACCGCGTTTCTTCCAACGCCGCTCGCCTTCTGACCATCTGTTGCCGCGCCACATCGTCGGCCCCCCCTCGCTTGGAGGAGGCGGGCCGCGCATGGCCCATGGCACGGCGAACTGCTTTGCCATGTCCTCCTCGTCCTTGAGAGCCTGCGGGGTGTTCCACAGGAAGGTCATCCTCGCTTGCTTGCGCCTCGGGTTCTCCGCGT